AGACATTTCGGCTAAAGGTTAGAAGGACATACTGGGTCATTCTGAGGAAAATGCAGTATTTTCACTCCCTGTGCAGCGAGAATCCTTATTCAGGTTCACCCAGGAACGATGTACACAAGCTGCACTCTTAACTGAATACTGACCCTGATGGATTACGATGCCTTTTCCCAGGACGCACTGCCAACACACCCGACTGGATTGTTCTTTCACATGGACAATAGTAAAACAAAATCCTGGTTGAATTTGTAAATAATTCCTATCCCCTCACGTTAAGCCAGTGTACTCTGTTAGCCTTCTCCTTCTTGGTCATTTGTTTCCTTCTCCCTCACTTTTTTGTGCTTTCTTCCCCTAGAACAGCTCCCATCTGTCCATCTTTCCTCCCATTGTGGTGTCTCTAAGCCGGGTAACTTCCACAATGGAATGGGAGGGCAGAGCAGGCTGGAGAGTAAACATGACAGCATCCAGATCTTATTAGAAGCTCTTTAACTTTGATGCCTCATTCGCTCTGTGTTGTTGGGAGAAGTGCAATGAGACTCCGTCCCTCCCCCAGTTTCACCTTTTCATTCTAACACCATTACTGCTCTCATCTGCTGTTAGAATGTCTCTCTTTAATTAAACCATCTTCCGCTTATTCATTCTGCTGCTTCCAAACTTCCTCCCTCTAGCCTTTTGTTTTTAGGTTGGCTGTCTTTTCTGCTCTTTTTTTTTTAACTCTTTCCCACAGCACACTTGAACGTACAACTACCCTAACCATCCATCATTACTTACTCTACATTATTCTGTTATTTTCACTTACTTTCTCTACATTTTTTGTCCCATATTAACGGCTTAACTTTTGTTTCCTATTTTGTATTTATCGCAGATTTCAACATTTAAATTTCAAAAACTTTAAAAAAAGGTGAGAATAATTCTTCCATATATTGTTATGTAACAATATACAGACTTGCAACCTGAGCAGTTTTATTTTGTAACTATTTCCTGTGATATTGAGACTGTCATAAGAAAACATTTTTGTTTGCAGTTCCAGATGCCTTATAGATTGCGTTACATTAACTGGACTAATTGATCATAGACATATGTTACTGAAAATATATTCTACAGTAAATATTCTGGAGCTACTTTCCAATTTTCATTTTCTACTGGTTTTCAAAAACTCTTGAAACTTGGTCACCGTGTGAGCTCGCCAGTTCAGCCCAGTTGCTAACAGGCCATGGAGACTGGCTGTCTCAGTACTGGGAAGGATTCATCCCTCGCTTCCATTCATGCTCTCTGCTGAATTTCACTCTTCCCCATCTCTCCATTAACTCTTATAGTAATGACTGATTTGCATGCAGCTTTTGTTTCATCCCTGTAGTTATTTTTTGTTACGGTAATAAAAGCTTGGTTAGTTGTTTGAAACCCCAGAACTTACATTACATGAGGGGAACTCAACAAAACAATTGCTGACAAAAGTGAATATTTTGGAACGCAGTTCCACATCGTTAGTACAACCCGTGTTTATCAATGTACACTTGTCCTTACTAAGCGATGTGTTAATGAGCCTTCACCTTTAATCCGGACCAAACCTCATTCTGTTCATGCTGTGAGTTTCACATCTCCTCTGCCTTCCTTTCTTTGTACACCATGTTTGCTTTAAAACCTTTAGGCTAAGATACTCCAGACAATGTGTGGCTCAGTGAGCTAAACCTGTGTGCCTGTGGTTGGAAGGTCACCAGTGTGAGGCTGGCCTTGGTCAGATAGTCACATGTCTGTTGGCCCTTGCTCAAGACCCTTAGGTAAAAGGTGGCTGTCCCTGTACTGTGGCAAAGAGAATTTCCCCACCAGGGTTACTAAGAAGCCTCTCTTCTATTCTGTAAATGGCCTTTTCGCAAAATGCATGACTGTAATATTTCAAATTAATTGATATACTGTACAGTGCAACGTACAGAGCTTAGAACCTGGACCTGAATCCTGCTCTTTCTGAAGGCCCAGCTGTTGTGCAATAGGAAAATTACTCCATAAATAACCTCTCGTTTAAATGAGTAAAATTGTGTTTCATCGTATTGTATTGTATTTTAAGCACAACCATCACCTAAGCAACAAAATGCATATCCTTTAATCTGTTGTTCAAATTGTTTGTTTCTGTTATGTTTGGTTTTGTTTCGGTTTCATTTATAAATAATTTGCAAAAACGTATTACAGTATATCACTTGTAATGTTTACTTAATTTATTATTTACTATTGTTGTGCTATGGATCATGTTTGTCCACTTTCCTGGCCCAATCCACCCCCTTCAGAGTCTCTCATTTATAATTTCCTCATCAGCCCTGAGTTTCTGTTTCAGTCACAGCCCTTTGTCGTTGTTTTTTTCTGCGAAGCATGTTAGTTCTCTCATTCCTATTTGTTTCGCACCCGAGTCTCTGCCCCACTTCCTCAGGGTCCTGTCTGGGTGGGTTTCGCAGGAGCGGAGAGGAGAGGATGGCGGTGCTAGCCAGCCCCAGCTTATAAACGGGGGATTATTTCAGCGCAGACACTGATTAAAACCTTCCAGCCTTCTCTGCCCCCCATTAATACAACCTTAATCACAGAGCATTATCCCTCAAACTCGCCCCATAGCTCAGGACCTTTCATTTAATGTGGGCTGATATTGTTTGACCACTGGATTAGGGAGGCTGAGAGGAGCTGGGGGAGACGTCCACAAGGACTCTGACATCATTCCTTTCCTGTCTATTGCTCCATAACCGTTTCAGTCATACTTCTGATCTCTCCACAATTTCCAGTTCATTCGTACAAATATAAAAGTTTAAGTTATTATTATTTTTTAAATGAAGCGGAATTGGTCACTTTTCCTAAAGGTCACCTTGAAGCTGTTCAGATTGACTGCTGTTGGGTTCATTGATTCCAGTGGCCATGCTGATCAGAGTCCTTCTGAATGCTTAAGGTAGAACATCCAGACTGGACTATAGTATTATGCCAGACTTTCCTTTCTTCGTAGGCTCTTGTTTTTGAGTATATGCAGTTTTACTGTTTACCCGAACATTGGTTCACTGCCGCAGTATGGTCTTGCAACACAGAGGCCAGAGAGAGCCTAGAATCATGCTTTGGTGTATATAAAAACCTCTTCAACCTGGTCCTCCCACACCGTGACTGAACTATATTATATCAATATACTTTCATATTTCTGATTGACTCTCATGCAGATTTAGGCACCTCCCCCACCCATATTTAAAATGAATGCAAGCAGCTTTAAAGGAGGATGGTCCTGCATCACTCTCCCCACCTGCCTCTGTGCCTGTCTGTCTGTGTGCAGCTATGTGTCATTCCAATTACAAGAGGGCAAGGTGTGTGTGTGTGTGTGTGTGTGTGTCTGCCTGTCTGTCTTTGAGATCCCAGGGTGGAGCTTGTTCACCTCTCTCTCTCTCTCTCTCTCTGTCTTTCTCTTCCTCACTCTCTCTCTCTCTCTGCGGCTTGGCCCCAGCTGTCAGTCAGCCCCCGTCGGCCCCTTCAGCTCCCCCCCCCCCAGTCTCCCGCTGTTCTCCCAGCTGTCTCTCCTCTCTGAACGAGCAGCTCAGCAACAATGTGAGTCAGAGGTCAAGAGAAAGAACAGGCTGCACTTACAATGGGCCAGTGGTATCCACAAAAACAATTGTTCTCTTTTTCGCTCTCTCTCTGCTCTCAGGCCTGGAAAAGACAACCTACCGATGGGATGGGATGGGGTGGGAATTAGAATAACTGACCCTCAAGCAATTTTGCCCCCAACACTTTTTGTTGCCAAAAACTCGAATAAATGTATGCAGTATTTTATCTCATTTTCCTCACTCTGACTCCATAATCTTCCTGATGATGTAAATCTGAGTCTTGCACATCTGACAAATCCTACTTTGCAACCTTTGCAAAAAAATAAAATAAAATGCAGCCTATTACTTTAATAAGCACGTCATCAGAAATCATTTTCACTGCTCACAGAAAGTCTTGAGATGCTTAATTCAGTAAAAATGATTGCAAATATTTTGGTTTTATAACAAAAATCATTACTTTATTCATTTGCTTGCAAAAAAATATATATCATATTAGAAACATGCAGTAGTTTTAAGTAAAACATTCATTTCAATTCGTATTAAATCGAATCTCAAGTTATAATTGTAAAACAGCTGTTCTGAGTTCATTGAGAAGCAGTCTCACTGGGTGCTTTTTAATTAGAAACACCTTTGCAATAACATAACATTTGTGTTTAATATCCCTTTGGGAGGCAATGACTACATTTGCAATTAATCGCAAAATGGCAAAAACAGTACTGAAGAATAGAACCGTCAGTCAAAACAATTAATAAAAAAAAAAGTCATAAAAAGAAATCTGTGTGGAAGATATGTGCAAATATGTCAAACATTGCTTGTCGATGGAATTTTATGAAACTAGTAAATTTGCAAAATATTACAGAATTAAGCAAACATCCCAAGACTTCTTGTGAGCTCTGTAGCAGAGTTCGTAGTAGAGTATTTGTTCTTTTTGTCTTTTATCATATGATCCTTTGAGGGACAGTGTTGAAAGTAGCCATCACCTGTTTCATAGCCCACTGTTCCCAGGGTCTGCGGGGGCTATCAGAGCAGCTCAGGGGGAGATTGGAGTGAGCTGGACTGGCATGCAGTCCAAAGATGATGACAGCAAGAGACACTGATATAATCTCTCTCCTGAAATACACATCAGTTAAAAACATGTTCCGGCCCCCAGAATGCTGTGGAATGGTAATCGGAGCATCTCGCCTGCTTATCTTGACGGATCTATGCATCCTCAGTTACTTATTTTTTTAAGGATCCTTAAAATGTGGATCTGGTTATTTTCTTGCTTTGCACGTTTCTGTATTTTTGGCTTACAGGATTCCCAAGTAGGCCTCTATCCGATGCAATAGAGCTGTTTCATGATGAATAATATTTCATGCAGCACCGTAACTTCCATTTTAAACAATTCAATTCAGGACACAGATTTCATTAAAAAAAATCTTTAATTTTACAGCATATCCCATTAATTTTTTTTCTTCCTTTAAAAAAAAGATATTTTCGTTTGTACAAAAAGCCAGACGTTCACATCAAGCTCTCAGTTTTTAGATATATCATTTAGAAAGAGAAACTAAGAAAGAGGTCTTTCTATTACTTAAAAAGGAAAATAACATTGATTTCTGTAATACTGTCAGAAAAATTCTCTTGCATAGATAGAGTTATTGCTCTGAATGGATATTACAGCCTGGAATATGGCACTTACATATATTTGCAACTAATACAGCCCAAGTGCTCCAAGGCATCTATCTCTGTTACCCTCCCATTATCATTTTTGCAGCCATGGACTGGAATCCCATCCATGGGGTGCCCTGTGCTGCCTGGGACAGACTCCAGCCCCCCTGTGACCTGACCAGGATAAACGGTTGGAAGAACAGATTTCAGTATTGAGAGTATGAGGTTAGCTGTGGGTATGAACCACTCGCATTTTTCAAAAGCATGTTCAGTCCTGACCTAAAAGTATTTTCCTGCTTTTAAATGTGTTAGAAGCAAGACCATACAGATCTCCATTAAACCTTCTTAAGAATAAACTGAAATATCAAATATTCCATGGGTTTCTAGTTCAAAGTACCCATTTTCAGCATTGTCTGCAAAATAACATATTACTACATTTATTTAAGTGCGAGCCAAAAAAATATTTACATCTTTAAAAGTAAATCAGATGACACAGATCGGGGAACAGACAACAGAAAAGTGACAATAATGACCTGAAATATATTAATTACAATAATATTAAAACCTGCCAGTTACTGACAGTGTAATGGCATTAAACAGTGTATACTGAGAAACAGTGACAAAAACAACAGAAATCAAAATAAATATTAAATACAGTTATAAATAAATGAATCTTTAAATGACCATATTCAGTATTCTGAAACGATCATGTTTGATATAGATATATTATGTTATATTTAGCATTGTTGGGGTTCGAGGCTTATTTTGGGTTAAATATCTACCACTCCAAGTAAAATAAAAAAAATCAGATATGATGTGCGGTAATAAGTTTAATTATTGACCGTGTGCATACAATTTTTGTCTTGTTCTTCACTCCTGGAGAAAGAAAAACATTTTATCCACAAGATGTGTATGTGAGTCTTGGGGCAGTAAGCCCTGTGTGGGACAGAAGCCTTATGTACTGTGCTTATAGGGATTATTGGGAAGCTGTGGATATTTGCCGGTCCAATCAGAAGGACCATTCCTCCTGTGGCTAGTGAAATATAAGAAGAGCCATTTACCTCTTCATAAAAACACCAAGTAATATTGAATTTAACAATTTCAATAAAAGTTATTATACTCATAAACTAATTTATAAAGGAAATGAGGCTATTCTTTTCCAGTCACTCCAGCAGCTAGGCTTGGGTGGAAGGACTGGGGAGTGGTTGAGTGTAAATGCAACACAATGTCTCTACACAGTCTTGGAAGTTTGGCTCTCTGAAGACCAGCAGGAAGGACGAGGGGCTGGTGGACTATGTGGAGTTTGTCCCCATTCTCTCCTCTTTCACTCATTATAAAGGGCAGTCATCTGTGAGGTAACCATGTAAGTTGAGGCGAAGGAATCCAGGGGTAGGTCATAGCGGGACACCTGAAAAACAGCATGACCATCAGGCCCAGCTAGTGCAGTGGCGACTGGGTAGTGCTGGGAGGTGGGGTAGTTTGAGGTATAGTTCCTTTCCGCCTCATGTGATGAGGGTTCCTGTTTCAGTGAAAAATTGCCGCTGATGCTGAGGGGGGGAGTGAGGGGCCCATCGTAGGGGGGTGTTGCACTACTACACTCGTGAGAGGAGACCTTCTCATAGGTCACTGCCTTGAAACCCTTCAGGTGCAAGAGGTGAGTGGCCTCCAAGGAACCATAGGGAGGGCTGGGCAGGCCTGGAGAGGTGTAGCTGAAGGGGTGTTCTGGCTGCTCTAGCACACCAGCCCCCCCAGGCCCTCCACACTTCTCCTCCAGCCTGTCCACCATCCCTGGGGCTGGTCCAAGCTGTAAACAGCCAGCCACCAGGTTGCTAGTTGGCTGAGATAAGCCATTGCAGAGCATCTCCATGAAGCCGCGACTCTCGGGTGACTGTCCACCCTCCAGAACCTCTGACAGGGCCCAGATGTAGTTGCGCGCCAGTCGTAAGGTCTCGATTTTCGAGAGCTTCTGGGTTTTGGAGTAGCAGGGCATGACACGACGAAGGCTGTCCAGAGCGTCGTTTAGGCCGTGCATGCGCGATCGCTCACGGGCGTTGGCTTTCACTCGGCGAGCCCGGAACCGTTCTTGTCGGGCCTTCGTCATCTTCTTCTTCTTTGGCCCCCTACGCTTGGGCACCTTTTCCCCTCCCTGATTCTCATCTTCCTCCAGCTCCTCTTCCTCTATGTCTTTGTTGTCCACCTCCCTGACACCGAGGGCAATCCTGGTCAGCTTGTAGTGGCTCATCGGCGGGGCCACTTCCCCATCCTGGGAGCTCAGGTCTTCATCCATCCAGCCCAATGAACTCACTAGCTGGCTGACATCACCTGCTTTACCGTAAGGTTTGGTCATCATTCTGGCCTGGGGAGAAAGAACAATATGGTCAAAAATATGCTCTATAAACAGCTGACCCCGCAGTATTTTTGCTGATTTATTTGATGTTTTTACTTTCAGGTGGACAAAAACAACCAAACCACATATATAAATGTGTTACACTAACCTGCTTCATCTTCCACAGGTACTTTTTTTTTGCAAATTTAGATAAACTTATTTGGTTTCAGTTTCATTTATACCAAACTACACTTCTGTAAATTGCACAAAATCCTCCAAGCAAAATTGTGATTTTATGAATCACTGAATTTGCATTTCCAATTTGTTAAGAAGTCATGTAAGAAATCTGAAATGTCAGTGAAACTGTAACAGATATCATAAATATTTATCTTGTTTGCAACAGTGATCACTAATAAACAATATATAAAACATAAAAAATATATAATTCGTGATGACTGTCACCATTCCTCAGAAAATTATATTCAATGGTCAAGGCATTTTATGACAAAAATCTGTATCTGTACATCAGACCCTTTATTTCCAAACATATTGCCATGAGATTTTCATGTCTTTGAAACCCTCTCCTACTCGTGTGATTCTCAAGAAGGTCCTTCAAACTTCAGGCTGAATATGGGACACAAAAGACTGAGTGCTTCTCAGTTCAGTTTTAGTTCTGTGGGAAGTGTTAGTTAGCTGGCCCAGATACATATATAGTGGCCTTGTGCTTTTATGCATCAGATTTATGAGTCTAATTGCCCTGCAAGTTTAGAATTGGGTCAGCACAGTTGACTAGTATAACATCTACAGGCAATGCTCTCCAGAGATTCAAGCCTGCCTCTTGACCCTTCTGAATGCATTTCATCCTCAATCAAATCTGTCCAATTCATTATATTAAAATATGAATTATCTTAATATCAAATATTAGGTCATATTTATATATACACATATTTTCCAAAAATTATATTTAAAAAATATTGTGGTATGGTTGAGAAAAGGCAGAAAACCAACTGTAATAATTAGCAGGATAAATGTAAATATCATCCCATGGTAGGCTTGCTATAGATTGGCCTCTTGGCTTTGCATAAATAAATAAAATATATGCTGTGTAGAAGAAAATATGTATTATACATGAACAAAAAAGCAATCATCGGTGAGTCTGAATTCAGCACCGCAATCTGGACAGTTCCAGTGACTGCAGGGCCGCTTTACGTTACACTGTCCCTTTCAGGACTCGCTACTGCTCGGTGTTCGAGTATTATAACTTGGAAAATACGCGTAATCCTCTTCAGGGTACATAACTAACAAACCTTATTTAATAACGCAACGTCTTCAAACAAGATACACTGATCAATAAAACAGAAACATGACTGCTGGTTCAGTGAGTCTGAGATGCGTGAGTCCCGGCTGTTAGTCTGTTAGACTGATTTGGAAACGCTGCCAATCCGGGACATGGCAGGATTTACTCCGCAGATAAAGACCTCCAAAGGGGTGTAATTCCACGCTAGCCTATCTAGCCAAAACAACAAAACAAGACCAAAGATAGGCCGAAAACAGACTGAACATTTCAAATGCTGAACAGACGCTATATGCCCGTATGTTAATTCTTATACTTTTCTCGACTTAAACTTTTCTTTTGGACGGATTTGCACATTTAAAACTACCTACGGTCCCCCGACTGAAATGAAATGTAATCTTGCAAAGCAAAAATGTCTTTTAAAACTTTGCTTTTCGGCATTTTGTCCGGAGGTGTCTTACTGTTTATATTTGTAGTCGAGCAGCAGTGCTTGACACAAAAAAATGGGGTAGGTCTACTTAACCTTACCACATTAATTACAACCACCAGCTTTCTTTATTGGCCATCACTTAATACAATAAAATAAAACACAATACAATGTAATGCGCTTTCCTGATAACCTACACTAAAATATCGTATGAAGGTACGCTAGAACACACTCGTAGTAACATTAAATGTAACATTTCTATCACAGAATGTGCATTTGTATTTGTTGTAATTACTGTGAAAACAAATTATGCACAAATTAATCTTAATCAGTAGGCGTAAATTATGATTAAACGTTAATCACAATCATATTTCATTTAAATATTGTGACTTACATATTAAGCTTATCGTTATTTAAGATACCCAATATTAAAGGGTTTAGTTTCGTACATTCCCTTGTAAGATTAAAAGCGTAAAAACCATTTTGTGGTAATGTGTATCTACTGTAAATGTTAAAACCAAATGCAAACCACATAATACAAAAAAACTCATTCAGTTAAAATAACTTTAACTCCGCATAAAGACAATTATTCTATTTCAAGATATGTGTTCTAAGTCGTCGACTGATTAAATGATGACTAAATTATATAGCTTTTCTTCAGTTTTATCATCCAAAAAACTGACGCACCTGTTTTCTTTCTCGTCACCTTGACGTGATGACAGAATTTCCAAGGTCCCAAGTTGATATTAATGAGTTAGTTTGTATGGTTATACAAGATTTCCTATTCTTTAGCTGTCCTTCTACTTCTTGCACACTCCCGATGCTCAAAGTTTGCTGAGCTACTGATCCTGTCGCGTGAAATCGCTCCTCATATTGGGTCTCTAGAGCGCAGATTTTGGTCTTTCAAGTAAACTAGAAACGCCCCTCCCACGAATCCCCCCCCCCCCCTACATGCGTGTGGCAGACCCGTGGGCAGTATCACTGACCACAATAACACACACTCTTCATGAACTCTGTGTGTGTGTGTGTGTGTGTGTGTGTGTGTGAGAGAGAGAGAGAGAGAGAGAGAGAGGGCTGGGGGGGGGAGGGGACCTCGTGCATGTGTTTAGAGGGCTGTAACTTAAAACAGCGGTGACAGTGGTAACCATGTAGTTTTCATGTATTTCAATACAATTTAAATGCTAGTTTCCTCTACCAGTCATCTACAATTAGTTAACATGCTTAAGTTCGACGGAAAAGACCATACACAACAGGAATATGTGACCGCAGTTAGACGTGATCTGAGGATTATGCATTCATGACTTTATCGTCCCAAGACATCAATTGTGCACGAGACTTCGTTTAAGCTTACAAGTGCAGGATCTGAATGCCAAATCTTGTAATTCCATTTACACTTAATTCTGAATATGTATTTCTGTTTGATTTCAATAAAACGGGAATAAAAAATATTGTATTTAGCTTTGTATTGTAAATATTAAACGCAAATAAATTACCGGAAAGGAAACCTACATAAACAGAAATTCAGATTTTCTAGTAGACTACAACGTCTGTTTAGTGAAATAATTAAATTGACGCACAATTTTATGACACACCATTGAAAGATTTACAACGGGAAAAGTTGCATAAATTCTGAAAATTGTATTACGTTCCGGAATAAGCTAACCGTAAAATAAATTTCACTTGACCCTTTTCTTCAAAGTTATACTGAGCTTTGTGGAGTTTAAATGAGTTTGACAGCTTGCTGTGGTAAGAGCAGGTGTATATATGCACCATCTCCACGCCACTTTACAGACATTCCGTGAAACAAGAGCAGCTACGGGTTGAACCGTATGACATGTGTGTCAATAATTATTAACAACAGATCCCTCTTGAATAAACGGCAAAGGAAGAAACTGTCGCTGGAAAACAATATGACACATTGTTAGTTGAGAAGAAGTATAGAGAAATGACTTAACGTGAATACCAATAGACATGCCTACTGTAAATCATTTACTCAAAAACCTGACTGTACTTTAGCAAAGTTTTTATATAGGCTCATATACCTAACCTTTCGCATTCATATAAAACGATGAATAAATGATAACTAGCCTTTGACATAAACTGTAGGGTGATCTTACTTAATGTTAAAGAAATAGGAAGACGACGGAGAAGTGGATGTTCGCCATTCTGATCATGCTCAACCACATTTTTTTCGACTTAACTGTTGTCTTTCTATCGTACAAGCTTAAGTAAAGTAACACGGGAGGTCGACTACGGTGCGAAGCCGAGCCGTACGTGCCACCGTGGGGACACCATTGTCACCGTGTCCCATTGACAGCCGGGGCTTATGCATCGCACGTGTCTCTCGCATTGATCCTATTGTCCCCGCACGAATCACGTGCACGTGCACGCTCTCTTGTCATCTCTCTATCATCAGCTTTAGTAAACCACTGTTACCCTCTGGTAAGATGATTTCGTTATCATGATCCTATACATTTGTGTCACGTTTCCTTTCATATTAACGAACACACATATGATGGCATAACCTATTATTAGGGTACAGTCTAGACCCGATTATTTAAGACAAAATGAAAAAGACGTCGGTCTCGTCAAATAATTTCCGTGTCCCCGCTGAATCTAAACAAACCTAACAAAATCGATATTTACTTTATTTTGTCAAATTTGACTTCTGGACGGAAAAAATATTTAAGCAGAACAATTAAATTGTTTATTTTATATTTTTTTATTGCGGACTACGGGCAGTTATTACGCCTGACGTTACCCCCAATTAAAGGCGTAGGGTTCTGTATCCCCTAACATTACCTGAAGAAAGCCGCAGCCCATAAAGGCGGTGGACGCTATAAATTATGAGACACTATGGGGCTGTTGAACGACATTAAATAAAACGGTCGTAGTAGAGGTTTCCAGACTGTGCGCCCATATATCCGACTTCTTCGTGAAAGAACAGATGGCCAGCCATGTAAAAGAGAAGCTATGCATCTGTCGGGTGGGGGTTCGCACTCCGGCTTATGTCTCAAACAGTGTCCCGCGCTAAGAAACGCTTGAATAGATAGATTTATAAATCCACGTTATGTTTCTCAGTCGTCATAAATAAACATTTGCTAGTTGTTTTTAATTAAATACTCGTGTTGCCAATTCAAATAGTCCAAATCCACTGAGAGTGAGAACATTTATCAGCTCATACATTTTTTGACTGACCAAATGCACGCCAACAGAAGTAAAAAATAAATAGCCTACGTTTCAATCATGTGTTATGAACAAAAAAAAGGCAAGAAAAATGTAGTCTGACATTTTTTTAACTAGCCAGCAGGGTAGTGTTCAGTGTTTTGTACTTGCCGTTTGTCAACATCACTCGGGAGTGGAATTTCCAGCCCTGTTCACAAATATTAAAATTGATAAATTAGACCACAGTAAGATATTTTATTTGTTTGTGAATATCAATATACGTGTATGTGTCAAAATTTAATTCTTGAATGCAAGAAAGTCTTTATTAGCCAAATAAAATGTTTGAATATGGTTTATAATTTTCAAAAGGCCTAATAGGCCTAGCCTATACCGTTTGCAAGTAAAATAATATGTAAAACACAAGTTGAAAGACTTGAACATATACATATTTGCAGTGAAGAGAAATTATTTTTTTCGGAGGCTTTTGCACCTCATGAATGCGTGTCATGGATGCCTGAGGACCCCCACGTGGCCAATATGGCTTCCTGTCCAGGCAGACTTTGCCGATCCCACACCACACCGATACCTTGAGCAGGAATATCCCAGAAAGAGAACAAATATACATGGTGCTGAAGAAAAACTATGGAATTTCATGGGCATAATACTGGAAGCTGTTAAAAAGAATCTCAAATTGTATTAGTCATGCTTTTATGAAGAGAAAATCTATCAGTCACTGTGCTTGGTAATCTGAAGAAGACATTATATTTGAGAAGCATGTTTTGTTTTTTTCTTTGCTGCAAACATGCAGTAAACTTTTATGTGACCAGAGTGAAGTTCCTTCTCCTTCACAACTTCACTTTCGTAAAATTAGTGCATGATTAACAGGGGCGCAGGGCTCATGCTGGGTATCTGTTGAAAGGCATATTTTGATCAAATATGGACCCATGGACAGATCGACATGCCTTTCTTCTAGTGGTGGTTTAGGGGGTAGGAATGGCTGTCAATCTCAGATACTGCACACTGCAGCACCGACAGATATCAATGGAAGCATATATACACACACATAAAAACATATGGAATATATATCTGAACTTCAATGTAGATTAATAGAAGCACTTACAGGCATATAGGCTTATATAAATTATTCATCGTTCTATAATATTTTAAACTTACATATATAGTTTTAAAAAAGTAAAAAAAAAAAAACATCTAAGTAGATTGACACTGTCTTGATTCTGATAAAATTTTGTTGATTTCCTTTCTAGCCTTTCCTCTCCCTCGCTGTACAAAAAGACATTGCCACAAGTGAAATGTGTCCTGCCAGAGTCCCTAGAGGCAGGGGGAGCCCAGCCAGCACTGACAGATGGGCCCTTGTCCTGTCTTTCTCTCACCCTCTCCCAAATACGCACACACACGTACTCACACTCACGCATGCTGCGGCCGCCTGAATACAATAGGAGTTAAAACCCTGCACACATGCTCCCTCGTCCTCCTGAAAGCTGAGGCCCTTGTAATATTCATAAAAGGTTGGAGCAAGCTTGTATTAGGCAGTCAGGGAGAATGGACAGGGGATCAACTTGAAATGAATGCAAATGAAGAGTGCTCCCAATTTCCTCGCTGGGGGGGCACTGCACGTTTCTTTTTCTGAAGATGAAAGTTTACTTTGAAGGTTTCTCTTGGAACGCCAAGTGCCACAGAATCAATCTACTGTTGTGTCTCAACTTTAATAAAATAATATGTCCACACGTTCCATTATCTGTTCTAGACAGGAATTGGTGCTTCTGTCAGGTTGTTTATTTATTTGTTTGTTTGTTTTTGAGTATAAACATGAATTATTGATTTTAATTTTTCTTAATTTCTGGTTCACATTGACTTTCTGAAGTCAGTTATTCATCCTAAAGAGAATATTCCACTATTAGAAAAACTTATTGTCAAAAATATAGCTACTACTCAAAAAAAAAGATATTTAGCTACTTATTTGGTTGGACAGATGAACAACTCCATCCAGTGTGCCCAGTGTGACTTTTAAGGTCATTTTGATTTTCTCATGGTATATTTTTGCTTTTATCCCGAGTCCTGCTTTGCAGTCTGTGGAATAAAAATGTAATATTAGTGATTCAATGTTGAATTTATTGATGAGAATTCATGAATTTATATAGAATATCTGTTTCAGCAGTATTTGCCCAAATATTAATCTTCACATAGCTACTGCAAACTGTGTGTGTATGTGTGTATGTGCGTATGTGCGAGCGGGTTTACCTATCCTTATGGGGACATAATATCCCCACAACGTGTTAAATATCCATTTTTGTTCCTTTATGGGGACCAGGAATCTCTAATTTATAAAAATCGGTGACTGCTATGAAAAAACTAAAAATGCAAAAACTCTTGTATTTAGTTAGGTTACTTAGGGTTATGGTTAGGGCAGGGTAGGAATTAAGGTTGTCATAGTTAGCGTTAGCATTTTTCCCATTGAAATGAATGAGCGGTCCCCATAAGGATATGTATACCCTACATATGTGTGTGTGTGTGTGTGTGTGTGTGTGTGTCCCTACATGTCCCAACAGGTGATCCAGGTTGTACTACTGATGTGCTGCTTATTTAAGCTGAACACAGAAACATCAGCTTCTCATTTAGTCTAGAAGACATATTTACTCTGCTCTTCTGCTGATTCCAGTCTAGGCACAGAACTTCACACTGTATCTGCTA